TGGTCTCATATGCGCTCAAGTCCCAGTCCTCTAAGAAAATTTCTCCTTAACATTTTGCACTGATTATTTTCTTTATGAGCTCTCAAACTATGCCACACATATTTAGGATTGAGTGAAAAACACTCATTGGCTAACACTTTGTGTTTCAAGTGACATTTCAGGGCTGGTCAAATAGCTCAGTGGATTAAAGTTCCTGCAAATAGACGCGGGGGCCAGGGGTTCGATCCCCAGCCCTGCCGTGCCAGCCCCACGCCTAGGGCACACTGGGACAGCAATTGAGATTGAGACTGGGCATGGTGGTATGCACCTGTAATCCTAGATGTTGGGAGGCTGTAAACAGGTGGATCAACCTGTCCGATCTAATAGTGAGACTGTGAACACCCTGTAGACCCTTCCCTAAAATACAGAATCAATCAATCAGTCAGGGGCTGGGATATAGCTCAATGGCATAAGTGCCTGCCTGGCAAGCGTAAGGTCTTGAGTTCAATCCCTGGTACCAAAAAAAAAAAAAAAAAATCAATCAATCAATCAATCAATCAATCAGTCAAGTGACCTCTCAGCTGCTGCATAACTCTGTAGCATCCGCTCCACATTCAGTGCTGTTGTAGAAACTTAGGCTTCTGTTTTGTCGAGGTTTCTCTGCATATTTTCATCATGGTGAAATACTACCTTCATGACTATGAGTTTTCTTTTCTTTGCCATATAGGAGGTCAAGGTTATATCTTTTCTGAAAATCAAAGATTGTACTGTGTAATTCTCTCTCTTTTTTTTTTTTTAATTTTATTTATTTATTTATGTGTGTGTGTGTGTGTGGCCAGCTCAGCCCACCAGGGGGTGGGGCTGGCTGGCATGTGGTGCTGGGGTATTGAACCGCGGTCCCTGTGCTTTGCTAAGTTTGTTCTAAGTAGGTACTTTAGACCACTGAGCCATCTCACCAGCCCTGTAATTCTCTTTTAAAATTGTAGCATTTCATTTGGAATTTCTGCTTTGTTTCTGTGCACAATTCCTGTGCTGGTCCAACTGTGCTCTGTTGGCAAATGTAACATCAGTTGGAAATTGTCAGATGTCACCTTCTGCACAGTTTGGGAGATGGGAGCAACAAGTCTGTTCACAGCATCATTCAGTTTATTACTACGTCAACAAGGACCTGGTGGCTGAGTTCCAAGAAAAATGTCTAAAGAATGTCTTTGCATCTACAAGGCATACTCTTTTTTTTGGGGGGGGCATATTTTGACCCCTCACTTTTCCATAAGTCTTTTACATTCCTACAATCACCATGAGAAATCTGCTAAACACGGATGAATGTTTTCACTTCAGTTGGTGAGGCGTCACAATAAATACAATTTTGAATGTGTCCTCTGGTGACTACAGAATGTTTTACTTGCATTTCGCCTGTGTGGATTTCACAGCAACTTGCGGCATTTCCTGTTTTTGTTTTTGTTTTTTTTTTTTTTTGGTGGAACCGGGGATTGAACTCAGATCCTTGCGTTTGCCAGTCAAGTGCTTATCCTACTGAGCCATCTTCCCGGCCCCCTTGCGGCATTTCCTGTTACAATATCCAACCCTGAGTGGCAGTGCTGACAGACTGTCCCATGCATTTCACTCCTGCCAAGACCTTCTCTATACTCTTGGGCCTCATTCTAACATTGGTCATGCCATTTCATTGCGTGGCCATTTCACACATCAACCAGTCATGAGTGCTCACATTGCCGTATTCGTCATCAGCTGGATCAAGGGGGTCTGCATTCCCATGTCTGTATCAGTTGATTCTTGTTCCATGTCACTGTCACAGGACTTTGGCTCGCATGTCCAAACCCACTGGGTCTGTTGCTCTTTACTGCTCCAGTAAACGTATGTAAAACCAGTTAAAAGAGCATAAAGGTGGGTCCAAGTCCTGATCTGAACCTTTGCACACAGGCACGCCCCCTTGCCGCGTTTGTCATATCTGGTGGGTAAACACATACATTGCTTCCTGCGTCCCTTAGGGAAAGGTAGTGAGATGCACAGCTGGCTAAGAAGACACTCACGTACAAATTTACAGTAGAAATGTAAGGGATGGGGCCGCTGGATCCACGCTTAGGCCTTGAGGACAGATGCCTTTCTAAAGCGACACGGTTACCCTCGCTCAGTGCAGAAACTTACTCTAAGTTTCTTAGAGCATAAGGAGGCCTAGCAGCTGATGGCAGTTTTCAAGATTCTTTCAGTGGGATGCGATGCTGCACAGCTGTAATTCTATCCCTTTGCAGAGGCTGAGAGGTGGGAGGAGGATCACAAGTTTGAGCCCAGCCTGAGCAGTGGAACAATTTATCAACTTAGCAAGAACCTGCTTCAGAGTAAAGAAAAATAAAAGGCAAAAGTCCCTGGGATTAATCCCCAGGGCTGTGTCCTGCCCCCGAAGTCGTCTTTCTGTCATCCAGTGTACTTAGTGCCTGTGCTGCATGGACCCTTCACATTTAAGGAGATCTGATGGCTCCAGCTAAAGATGTCTTTGATTAGACCACAACGAAGAATTACAAGAGTGACAGAAGCTCTGAGCAACTCCAAACTCTGTAGAATGTCAGCACTGTGTGGCTAAGCAAGGGCATAAGTGACCCAAGATTAATGCGTTGGAATCAAAATAAGAAGACATCTGTGCTCACTTCTGCCACAGTCAGAAGTAGGCATTCAGGGCCGGGGAGATAGCTCAGTGATCTAAGTGCCTGTCTGGCAAGTGTAAGGACCCAGGTTCAATCCCTGGCACCACATGACATGCTGGCCCTGCCCAGGGCCTGCCAAGCCAGCCACATGCCTGTAATCCCAGCATGGGGGAGGCTGAAACAGGAGGATCACTATGTGTCTGAGTTGCATAGCAAGACCCTGTACCAAATAAATAAATATATATATATATATTTTTTTTTTTGTTGTTGTTGTTTTTGTTTTTGTTTTAAAGTAAGCATTCAGGGGCTGGTGAGATGGCTCAGTGGTCTAAAGCACCTACTTAGAACAAGCTTAAGCTTAGCAAAGCACAGGGACCGCGGTTCAATCCCCCAGCCCCCTGGTGGGCTGAGCTGGCCACACACACACACACACACACACACACACACACAATTTAAAAAAAAAAAGTAAGCATTCAGCATTTTTTAGATTTAACATCTGTCGAGTTACCCTGTAACTCACGCAAATATGTGATTCTTGCTTTCCTTTCCCCAGCTCTTGACATTATTAATCAAATCCAAATCTAACCCGGTGCATATCACTAATGATATTTAGTTAGAAGATTCTGACGGCTTGTTGATGGGCCTTGTAGAAACACCTCCTCCCTTCTCCTTTTGTCTGTTGGTTTCATTTAAAATTCCCTTCTTTCATATTTTGGTAAGAGAAGACTTTAAGTGGAAGTGTAATCTGAGTATTCCGTTTAATAAATGGACTCAGCATGGGCATTTTGAAGCCAACTGTTCCATCTGGAACGTCAGCGTTAGAGCACAGTGGTATTATTTTAGGAGAGATGCAAGCCATCGAAGGATGGAGTTGCAGGGAACAAAGCCACCAGGTGAAAGCAATTTAGCACAGCTCAAGGCTTCTGGATGGACCCTCTTGAGCCCTCTGAGGCTTCAAGTCTGATCTGAATCCCTGAGGTTTGGCCCGTCATTGCTGTCCTGTAAGTGGGATGGCATGATGTCAGGCAGAAGGCCCCACTTTGAGGCTTCCTTCTTTTTCCCTTTATGGGCTCTGGGCTTCAGGTCCTCCTTCATGCCAGGTACAGGCTCCACCTTTGGAGCTGTCTCTGTAACAGGTGTGGCTGGTATGTGCGGATGACTCTTTTACTATGGTGTGTAGTAACAGGTCCTTGATGTGGCATTATTCTTTTTGTGACATGGAAAGACCCTGGAAATACTGCCTGATAAGACCCCGACTTCTGGCTAGGGGGGTGAGTGATGGGACAGTTATGCTGGGTAACTGCTTTGAGTCTCAGGGCCCTTGTAAAAGGGCAATGATGGCACCTGCCCCAGTGGGTTTTACAATGAATATGTGCAAACTACAACGCATTGTTGAAACTTACAGGTTCTTCCTGTTGTGTTATGTTTACTGGGCTTACAACGTTTTTAAAATCTTTGTTCTCTGGATTAAAGAAATGATTAGAGGACATGAGTTCCGTAGGCCATCCTACAGGCATGTGCAAGTGGCACTGGACGTTCGTTGCCTAGGTTCTGGAAACACTGGCTTTCTCTCCACTAGGCCTTCTTGTTCCCAGCCCTTATCTAGCTCAGCTCTTGCCTAGTGGCTTAGGCAGGCTTCTCTCTTCTTACCTGGGAGAAGTCCTGGACATGCTTAGCCTTACTCAGGGCTGTCTGGTTATTGTCGTCTGGTCTATTCATGAAAGTTTGCACAGCTGCAGTTTAGTAATTATTTGCTTGAACATCTGCCCTGCAACCTGAGAAAGGCTTGTTTTATGCATCCCAGTTACCAGTGGCTATCGTGTGTCACGATTTTAAAGGAAAATGCATTCAGGGTTGGGAATGTAGTGTGGTGGTAGAAAGCCTACCCAGTGTGCTCAAGGTATGGGTGTGATGGTACCTGCTTACCCTACGAGCACTTGGGAGACTGAGGTGGGAGGGTCAGCATTTGGAGGCCGGGGCTACCTAGCGAGATCTGTTTGCAGGGTGGGAGTTCAGATTCTGTAGCAGTTTGTAGGCTCAGGACGGTAGGAGCCGTGCCTAATTTACTCAGTGTTATGTCTGAAGGAGATCTGGAATGGTGAGTGTCTATGTCGGATGAATGCATGATGGTGCACCTACCGCCCCAGAGGCCAAGGCCACTGTGCTTGATGACAGCACCCCAGGCCCGTTGTAGGGCAGTGGGGTCCCCCAGATGAGTATAGCTTAAAATTCCTCATTGTTGTGGGTCCTCATTTCTCGGCATTTTTCCTTTGAATAGTTTGTATAATTTTGAACATTCGTGCGTTGCTCTAACTTGGATGTGAGGACTGACGTGAAGTTTACACGGTTCTGTCTTCACCACAGCTCCTGCAGAAGAACGGTCAGCTGTCCACCGTCAATGGCTTGGCTGAACAAGGAGAGCTCATCCTCCAGGAGGGAGCCCAGAATGGCCAGGAGGAGGAAGTCATTGTCACCGAAGGTAAGCTATCCTTCTCGGCTCTGGCAGGAGGCCAGGAACGGGGGACAAATAGCTTTTGGAATGAACTGTGGAAAACTCAGTTGTCACATATTTTCTCCAGAAAACACACCATCATTCCGTGTAGTGATGGATGATGTCAACAACAAAAGTAATCCGTTAGTTTCCAAAGAAAATACTCCCCTTGGAGCACCTCTATGCTTAGGTCTCAAAGCCAGACACCTTTTTGTTGGGTTTTGTTGCTTGTTTGTTTGTGGCAAGATTTCACTATCCAGAAATCTCTTTCTAGAACTTAGTATTTCTTTATTGTGTTATGTCTTACTTCTTTGCAGCACTGAGGCCTCTCTGCAGTGCAGGGCAAGCATTCTACCACTGAGCTACATGCCCGACTCTACTTACTGTTGCTTTTTAAAATTATCATTGCCTTGTCCAAATTACTTTTCTGATGTTGGATGTGGACTATGTTGAGACAGTGAAGAGTCATGGCTGATTTGGAAGAATCGAGCAGAGTACTAGCTCCACGGTAGAGCACTGGTATGGCACACGCCTAGCATGCATGAACCTCTGGGATCTACCTCTAAAACCCAATAAGAATAACAGTGTGCTGTCTTCTACCCTGGTGACAGACCTCTCAACCTGCGTAGGTTTTTCTAGTAGGTACACTGCCCAGTGCACACAGCTCTTTGCCTAAAGGCAGACTGCACATCTGAGAGCTTTTGTGCCTGCAGGTCTTGGAGGTGGTTGTTCAGAGTGAGCCTTTCGCCAAGTATCTTGTTGGATTTCACCTCACTTGGGATGGTTTGGAGAACCAGACTTTGAAGCTGGAATTGAGGGCCCTGTCCTGTGTAGGTCTCTTGCGAACAGGGGAAGTCTGCATGGTGGGGAGCCTCTTCTGGAGCTGCTGCTTCCTCTGGAGCCATTCGTTTAATGAAGTAATGACTGAGCTGGATGTGGTTGTGCACACCTGTAATCCCAGCACTCTGGGAGGCTGAGACAGGAGGACCGCAGGTCCTGGCCCAGCCTGGGCAGGTTGAGATCCTTAGCAAGACAGACCCCTATTTCAGCAGTAACAACCAGAAGGGCTTCATCAGCACTGCTGAAGAGAGCAAAATGACGACCTTGCGTGCAGCAAGTCGTTGCTTCTCTCCAGTACAAATAAAGAAGACGGATAAAGGGAAAGGAGGCTGGACTGGCCCCAGCGGGATGAGATTCCTCAAACACGTGGAACCTGTTTCCCTGCGTTCCATGCCCCCACGGTGCAGCCCAGCTGCACGCAGGGCGCAGCTTTGAAGCTGGCAAGAAGACTGATATCCACATAAAGCTGGCCATATCCAGGCTCTCAGATGAGCGCTTGCCTGACCTAGCATAAGGGTAGGAAATAATAGTCACCAGAGTGATCATAAAGGACACAATTCAAATTCCCAAGCACAGTGCTTGATCCTTCTGTGTTTCCCTTTGAATCAAACTGGGCAGCAGTGGTTTTTGACTTACGGCCATGTCGCTGAGCTGAGTGCTCCGGGAAGATGAAGCGGGCTAGGAAATGAATCCTGCTTTTACAGTGCCTCCCATCAAGTCATCCAAGAAGGAAGGCTGTGGAAGGCACAGTAGGACATAAGTCAGGCTGGGAGTGTAGTGCACACCTGGAGTCCCAACATCAGGAGGCCAAGCCGGCCTGGCTTACGTAGCAAGTTTGAGGCTGATCCTTAAAAAAGTAAACAACGCTCAAGCCATTTGGTGGTTGCCTACTGAATTTTGGGAAAGATAAGGCCTGTTCAGAGCTCAGGCAAAGCAATTCCTTGAGGTGAAGGATAGAGTAAAATCTGGGGTTGGGGAGGCTGGATTTAGATCCATGGAGATGCAGGCCAAGGTTCAGCTCAGAGGTAGAGCTGAGTTCAGCCCTGGTGCCCCCAGCAGGTGGTGAGGGGTGAGGGCCAAGGGAGGAGAGTAATGCCCTGTGCGTCCTGGGCTCTTGTCTGAGCTGTGCCCCAGCCTCCCCCTGCTTTAGTAACTTACTGCAACCCTGGGAAGTGGTGATGACGTTGGCAAGGCTAAGACAGATCGGTGGATCGTGCAGGAGCCTCGGCGAGGTCCAGCGTGTCTTCTCCACGCGTGGAGGTGAAGTCCAGACAGCAGAGGATAGCCTAGAAAGTGTTCCGGGGACAAGGTGAGAGGCCCAGGACAGGTCACCAAGGGAGGTCCTGGCCCCATGGGCTTCTTGCTAGGCTCTGTGGAACTGTGGGCCAGGAAGAGGAGGAGGGACAGGCTGGCTGGGCTCGCTGTACCCCAGAGAGCGTGGGCAGTCTTGCTCATGTGTGGCATGTCTCCCGCAGGGTTGCTCCTGGCTATCTTCCTGTAGTCCAGATGTGATATCTTGTCCTTTTCCGCCACATGGATAAACACTGACTTTGTAAAAGTCATTCTGTCCCTACCCTGAGACTAAATTCCATTGTCTCCCAGAGCCCATCCAGGCTTCGAATCACAGATGCCTCTTGGGGGTTGAGCAGACATCACATTCCTTGGGCAGGAAGAGTGCTAATTGCACGGCGCACCTGCTTGGAGAGGCATGCTAGGAGGCTGAGGCGGAAGGACGGCAAATTCAGGCCCAGCCTGGGGGAGTTACTGATTTAGCAAGGCCCAGCCTCACAAAAATAAAATGGACTCTGGGTTCAGTCCCACTACTAAAGAAGAGAAAAATGATTCTGACAAGACCTTGAGTTCTAGGAAAGGCCAGCTGTTGCCCCTGAGTGGCCCAGGACCACAGAGGCCACCACCAGAGACACATTAGCGTCCCAGCTTTGGGGACCCGCTCTCTGCATTGTGGGCAGGACTGTTACTCCCTTGGCAACTTGGTGCATGCTGTTTTCTTTCTCTATTTTGTCTGCTTTGTGAGTGATAATTAATAGCTTGGCAATGTAAAAACAGACTGAACCTTCATGTTCAATTATTAATCATTTTTTGTCATGTTTTTCTTTTGACGTCAGTGTTAGAAACCTTGGTCCCTACCACCGTCCACATAAATAAACCCTACGTGTCTTGATCCGTGGACAGACTGGGTGCATAAGATCCATTGGTGGCAATTGGGGGTTTCACCAACCGTGGCATTTGGCATGTGCTCAGCAAGGTCACCAGATGGGAACCTGCCTGAGACAGGTCCATTCTTGCTGCGGGCGGGGACTTTAAAGTGACAGACAGCATTTATGGGCTGAGATTGCAGTTTAGTGACAAAGCACATGGCCTAGCCTGTGCAAGGTCATGGGTTCAATTCCCAGCATCACAAAAAAAACAACAGTGATTACAGTATTTCTGTGAGACTGAGTGCATTGGAGGGATGTGGCCACAGTAGACAGAATGTTTAGACAAGGCCAGAGGTGAACATACTTATTCCTACCTTGACCAGAATAATGTTTTTCTCAAACCGGAGATACAGGTAATTCAGAACCAGTCCTCTTCTGAACCATGAAAGCAGAATCAGTCTTGTAGCTATTTTTGAAACCTGAAGAGCAGGGTCAGGGATAAAGAGGGAGGGGCCTCTGTATGGAATTTAGAAGTCATCTGAAGGGGCATGCAGAGTCAGATGTGGACACAAATGTTAGACATGGACAAAAGAGAGATCTGAGCCAGTCGCTGAGCCCTGGAGACTCAGTCCCTCTCATCCGGGCCTTTGTGAGAAGACTTACTGACTTACCAGTTTCTTGAAATTTTGTGTAGAAGTGTAGCTGGGCCTTCTCTTCCCAACTGGAGTTTGATCATGCCAGTCCCCTCCAGGCCTTCCCACAGAGGCTGCACAACGGCTCCTAGTTTCTGAGTAAATGTACTTCTACTGCAAAGGCTAGTTTTAAAAAAGTCTGTATCCTCTAAAGCTGTTATCAGTTATCCTGTAGTCTTTCATGGTTTTCTGTGAGCTAGAACTCCTGACTAGAATGACTTTCAAATATATGTTGGGGGGCTGGAGAGATGGCTCAGTGGTCTAAAGCACCTACTTGGAACAAGCTTGGCAAGGCATCAGGGACGCGGTTCAATCCAGCACCACATGCCAGCCAGCCCCGCCCCCTGGTGGGCTGAGCTGGCCACACACACACACCACTCTCTCTCTCTCTCTCTCTCTCTCTCTCTCTCTCTCTCTCTCTCTCAAATAAATAAAAAAAAATAATAAATAAATAAATTAAAAAAAAAATATATGTTGGCCTAGCAGCAGTTTTAGATTTAAAATGTTTTGAAGCTAGCACAGTGACACACACCTGCCTGTAAGTTCCAGCATTCAGAAGGCTGAGGCAGGAGGATTGCCCTGAGTCTGAGGCTGTCCTGAAACACATGAGGAAAACTCTTAGTAAATCAAAAAAGCAGGTCTGCAGAACTCATTGCTAGATGTGAGGAGTCCAGTAGGTATCTCAGGTCTTAATGCATTTGAGTGTAATAGTTTACTTGGGGTGTGTGTGTGTGTGTGTGTGTGTGTGTGTGTGTGTGTTGCTGGGGATGGAACCCAGTACTCATGCGAGCTAGATGACTACTATAGCATGGAGCTAAGCCCTCAGATCCCTGTTGTCTGTCTGAGATTTGCCTTTCTCAAGTATATAGAGTATAGAGAGTGAACTCCGCAGAGCTAGTGAACGTTAGACATTCACTGTTTACTGTGTGTGAGCCACTGACTGAGTTTTGCTTATGTGTTCGTGTTGTGCTGTCGCATGCCCAGAGCGGGCGGCACGAACAGCAGCAGCAAGAGCAGTGCGCAGCAGACAGTTGGCTGCTTTGCCCCTGGCATTGCCCCTCTGGGACCCCTCTAATGGGAAAGACTCGACCAGCAGACACAGGTTTTGAGTGTAACAGAAGGAAAGGATGGTGAACGGGAGACAGTCCACCATCCCTGCTACACCTACGCATCCTGGAGAACACCCCTCAGCCTAAGAGACAGCCCCTCCTCAGTGGGAGTGCTCAACGTGGAAGCCTTTTAAAGGGTGCGTCCCGGGGCTGGAGAGATGGCTCAGTGGTCTAAAGCACCTACTTAG